AATACTTTTTTTTAATTAGTATTTGTAAGTCAAGAAGTAGTATTCTGTTATTACTAGGATTTTATTTTACAGTCATAGCTCTGCTTCTATGGATCGCAGAAAAACGTCTAACGGTTAAAACAGCGTGCACTTACCTCTTTTTATTTCATTTCTTAACAGACCGTTCTCACCTACTTAACTTTGCTTCTAATTTCTGTTACCTGTCCACTAATCACGACAGAACTCTTCGCTCAGTTAACAATCTGCTTCTCTTATGTCCTTCCCACAACTTACTTACTTCGTAAAGTGATCTTTGTTCAAGCAGTACTACTCTGAAATGTACCCACTCCTAGTCGGGATGTCCACAAACCGCTTTATATTCAGAATGAAAGTACATACCTCATATTCTGATATTCATGGTGTATGAATATGTTTGTCTTTGTATATATATATATATAATTGCGGTTGAAAAAGATTTATTTTATTGCTCACTAAGTGGATTCACAATAACAGCATTAAGAATTATTTCTTATAATAAATAAGTAGATGGTATAATACCATTGCATTGGGCTAAACCTGTCATAATAGTTGTTTTTAAAGAAAATAAATAAATGTTATAGGGGTAGACGAGCAGACGGGTCACCTGATGGAAAGTGACTATCGCCGCCCATGAACGTCTGCAAGTCAGGAGTCACAAACGCGTTGCCGGCCTTTTAAGAAGGAGTACGCTCTTTTCTTGAAGGTCGTATCGGTCCGGAAATACCACAGATTGGTTGTGCGGGGCATAAAGTGTCTCGAAAAGCGCACAGTAGTGGAGCGTCAACTATCCAGATAATGAGGATGAAAATTTTACCATGTGGAACGATGGCGGAAATTTGCGGCTGGTATTCGTTCGAACAATTCCTCGGAGCACTCTCCATGATATATGCGATAGATATTTATGATGTGTAGTGTTGTATGTGTGTAGATGTATATGTTTATAGTAGTGGTAGGTAGTGAACCGTACATATTTTAATTTGACATTTTATATTATGACGTAACCCTTTATAATTGAGGATTGTGTCATCTTCATGCGATCATTTCAAATGAGTTATAATGTATTTTTTGGGTATGGGATGATACGAGACACTTTGTAAACAATATTTCATGCCCGAGATCTACTTCATTTTCAAATCATTATTTACTTTAACGAGAAGATTCTTATGGCCCGACTGCAAATTATATAAAACAACCTACTATTAAGACAAATTAAAATATTCTCAAATCATTATTTGTGTAGGAAAATATTTCGATTATTTACTGCAAAACTTTAGATTTAAAATGTAGTACAATTTTTTTTGTTTTTTTTTTACCTCCTTTCTAAGGAGAGGCCTATGTCCAGCAGTGGACTAGTAAAGGCTGTTGATGATGATGATGATGATGACAATATTTCAGTTATAGAATATCTTAATCAAATAATCAGATTAATTACAGGTTTAAATACAGTTTTAATATCATCATAAGCCTTATAAAATCTTCAAGAATTCTTCTATTCGCATTTCTACAGATCGCAAAAAGATAATTAAATATAAGACTGATATTAGACGGGCCTGTTGGTCTAGTGGTTAGTTTCTCTGACTGCTAAGCCGAAGGTCATGAGTTCGATTCCCATCTAGGACAAATAATTGTGTGATGAGCACGATGATTTGTTCTGTGTCTGGGTGTAATTTATCAATAATTATGTATGTATTTAGAAATTTATAAGTATGTTTATCAGCAGTCTGGTTACCATAGTACAGGCTCTGCCTAATTTTGGATCAGACTGCCCTGTGTGGGATGTGTGAAGTTATTGATATTATTATTATCCATGATCTTAGCATAATGTTTTCTTTATTGTTTTAGAAATATTTATGTCAGATTTTATAAATTGAAATTCACGTTATTTCGATTGCTTTGTATCCATATTTTTTTGTAAATGCCAGAAAAGTCTCACTGTAGGCCCGTGTCCTGTTACAGTGAACAAAAATGAGAATAAAAAGTCTCTTGTGTCCAACTAAAAAGTTCGAGCTCCTTTTCTATTGGTATTATGAAATGACGGTGAATCGGTGACATATGTTTCAGTGTTGCCATATGTTGCAAACGACCTAAAATAGAAATAAATAACTTTGTTACAAATTAAAGTATTATCTATGCAAAATCCTATTATGTTAGCATTATAATCTGAATATCAGTATTTAAAAAAAATATCTTACGTATTATTGACTTTTAATCAACACATTCCTAAGAATTACGTATGAAGTGTAGGCAACATTTGGAGAACCTAAAAATCAAGGAATAGGACTAGAATTAATATTTTACATATTGTATTATATACTTGTGTAAATATTAATATATCCATAACGTTCTTGGTTTCTGTAAGGGAAGAAATCTGTTTCTTCAAGTAATAAGGTTCTTAACGTTAAAATGATAAAAGTAAATAGTAGACAAGATATATTTATTCAAACACTTTGTATATAATTACATCAACGATTAAGGTCAATATTCTTACTTCCCGACTCGGTAAGAGTGTGTTCTCAGCTCCAGATGCAGTTAAATCCGCCGTATTATCAAATATTTCACCTTTTTTAAAACAATATTTTCTGAACCGTAATCTATTTGATTTAGGGCTGTATGCCTTGCTCTCGATACCAACGAACGCTTCATAATAAGCAACTAAATACGGTACGATCACTGACCTTCCGATCCACATCCATAAAAGTACGAAGAAAGCAGTTAAAAGAATAACCTGACAAAACATGTAGAAATAATATGGAAAAATAATAGGGTCGGGGGTGGTTAGGTGAGTGATCTTGCATACAAGCCATTGTATTAACATCCAATAAATTAGGCACTGGTTTGTTCCAGAGCACAGTGATACGCAGCAATCCCAAAATCGGGCACATAATATGTAAGGAAAGCAGAAGACTTCCCACCAATTATATCTAAAAAGATCATCAGCACCGGTGTGAAATCGTTCTCCTTCCAACTCATAGCAGTTCACTTCCTTAGGCCTGGGTTTTGGTTTTAGTCTTGGTTGTCTTGCCATATTGTATTCTTATTCGTGCCAAATGCTCAAAAATATTTTCACTCTTGCAATACCACCACAACGATCATAATTTGAATTTATTGTTAGAAATCCAACAATAAGTTATATGTAGGTAAAAACTAATGCTTTGTTGTAGAGACTCTGTAGATATTGATTGTCATTGTAAGACAGAATGACAGTTTCGAGCGGAATAAAACAATAGGCACAGCCAAAGAGTTTACAAACACTTTTTTCTAGACACGCACACGGATACACAGCGGAGGGTCGGAGACATTTCCTCTTTTTAGTTAAGAACGTGCTAATTAATGTGTTCGGTTTTTTTACGATATAGTCGGCAAACGAGCTGATACAACAAAACTATAAAATTATAATAGAATAGATCATATTTTGACCAATTGAAGTCTATGAATTTGAAGTTTTTGTCGAAGCAATCTACTGTAGTATTAACTAAAGGTTCTCGTTCCGAACTGATTTTATAAGAATCTCTATCATCTTACTTATGTACTCTCAAAATTGCCAGGTCTGCAGAAAGCCTCAAACGGCGTAATTAAAAAAAAATAACAGGACGTTACTCGTTAAAATTAAAATTATTAGGCGGCAGTTAATGTGTGATTTGAATAATTTGCAAATAAATAGGCTCCCGTTGGCACCCTTTGACGACGAAACTCTAAAAACTTTTCATTATTAAGAAAAATATTTACCAACATGTCGACTCCACAAGCTTCCTATAACCTTAGCGCATGGAAAACAAGTAGGAACGTATTACGAGGGACGCTGTACAAGCTGACCATTGATGTTTTTTTTAGCAATTTTTACGATATCCATCTTAGAGTGCCTTTGTATTAGAGTGTGCATCTATAGTTTTTTTGATCGAAGCTTATTACATAATTTTCTACAACACAACATCTACTAGTTTACACTCTAAGTGAAAAGTCAAATTTGCTATATTTTATCTATGCTACTTTATGTCTTTAACTGTCAGTATGCAGTCATTTTAGAAATTGACAAACCGTGTAAGTAAATGTCATATTTCATTGATGTGATTTCACGACTAGAGATGTGACAGTCTAGTATATTGTCAAACCGAGGAAAATCGGTATGAAAATTTATGCGAATCGTGCCGAATCGAACCGTTGAAATTGCAGTAAACCGCGGTTTGATGAACCGGTTTGAATCTTATGATGAGTTGATCAGCCAATGTAACAGACGAAAGTGATGTGCAATATGATTCAATGGGAACGATTAAACCCTCGTTTTACGGTTTTTCAATGATTGGCAACAAGTTTAAATACAAAAGTTAAACTTAAAATTACCTATACCAACTGACAATCAACGCGGTGGCAGTATGTTTTAATTGGTAGTTTGTTGTAGTTTGTTGCTAAGGGCAATACAACAAACTATTCAATCAAATAACACGATTACCTTTTCACCCTTATTTTTTTCGAATTTGGTCTATTTAAGAAAAAATTGTCGGTTAGGTCCGTTAGATTATTAAACTAACGACGCACGCTAACCGTATCCTATTTTGTTGGAGCATAATATTATAGCTTGTGCTCGTTGGATTGATAAATATATATTCACTGACGTGTCGCATCGACTCGGTTCAGAACCAGTTGGTAGATAAATCAGTTTTGTTCGATCGATAAAGCAGGAGCTGCTACTAATTGCAGCACGATACTAATTGCAGCTCGATCTCATGATACGGCTGAACCGGTTTAAACCACAAGCTAATCACTTCAGTTCGATTTATTCTTAAACTGGTTTAAATCGATTAGAAAAATCGATTCGTTACACCACTAGTCACGACACGAACTTACTTAGCTTAGCTTAGTTCGGTGATGACCATGGTGGGGTGAAGCGCTGCAGTTCTCCTCAAAAAAAATATTACGTGTATTAACTACATTGTTATGTTAAGGACGTAGAGGATTGTCTATCACCTGCAGGATTTGTGTAATCCATGTATATTCAAGGATCTAACTCAGGTAATGTGTTTAAATAACTTTTATAATAAGTGAAAGTTCGCACCAAACTTGAGGATTTGTTTTTTTCAAGGGAATGCCAATACTTATTACGGATCAATTACCATATACAAAAATAACTTACATTAAGTTTCGTTATTCTTATTTTGTTGTTTAATAGAACTGGTTATTTGACCTTTATTATTGTAAATGAATTGAACGAGTTATTTGTTTAAACTCACCATGTCTTAAGTTATGATCTTTGCAACCTTGAACACTTAATTATATCCTGGTTTAAGATCTACGTATAAAAATGTTAATTAATCATTTTGGGGTAAATCCAGCTTATGACATTTGTCATGGAAAGTTTAAGGAGTGTTTGTCATGTTACAGAATGTTTGGTCTTAGGTAATAATCTGTTATTATTTATATAATAACAAACACAATGAGTCTTTGTCTGATTTTTTTTGTATGATTATTTTCATTTGTTAGTACGATGTCATCCATCCATCCACAGCCTTTACTAGTACACTGCTGGACATAGGCCTTTCCGTATAAAGGAGGTTTTTGCCTGTTATACCACAGTGGACAGACGGGTTGGTATAGGGTTTGTTTCAAGTTTCCTTCTCTTTGCAGTGTTGTTATCCTGCATAGTTTGCTTCCATAGTCGGCTCTTACGACACTCACAGGATGACTAGGGGTGGTGACACTATGTATTCTTAATCTGTCACCATACGGAAGGTGTTCACACAATGTTCTATTAAATGAAATACTTAAAACAGATTTTACATTTGTTGCATTTTTATTGGTAATCTGTCAGGCCAGCTTGGTATAGTAGACCAAAACGTCCTTTCTAAGGAGAGGCCTGTGTCCAGTGGTGGCCTATTAACCCAGATAAGCCTACTGTCCCATATGTAGGACGGTAGAAATAAGAATATATTTCAACTTACGAACATATTAACAGAATATATTTAATGGATTTGTAATGACAAGCTAATGTGCTAGTGAAATAAAAACTAAAAAGATGCATTTATAATATATTATCCATTTTATAAATATTTAATTGACAAGTATATCTAAAAGTGCATTGCAGACATGGGACAGTAGGCTTATCTGGGTTAAAGTTGATGTAATTCATGTTGATGTTGCATTTTTATTTACCGTTGTTACATATTTATTGTACCATCATTAACGCATTTACATAATAGATTAGCCGTAATCCCCGAAACTATAGTTGACAAGATTGAAATTAACGCAAGCAAAGCCACGGGCAATAGCTAGCTAGCTAATATATTATATATTTACAACCTGTTTACATATACAAATGGTTATTAAAAACTTGATATACACATTGTCAAGTTGCAGAGAGCTAAATTCACTAGTGTGCTCCAAGGCAGTATACTGGGTCCTCTATTATTATTGGGCTGCATATTTTTTTTTTTTTTATGAATGATGGATAATTAATCATCATCATTTTCAGCCTATTGCCATCTACTGCTGAACGAAGGCCTCCACCAAAGAAACTGGATTAATAATATTAGTTAATTAAGTGAAAACCAGTCTCAAATTTTTATGCAACTTTTAAACTTTAAAAGTAACTTAAAGTAACTAACTTTTAAAGATTGCCGTTAAAGTATTTTTTCATGGGATAAAGGGGCAAACAAGCAGACGGACACCTGATGGTAGGGTACTGCTGCTGTCCATTGATATCTGTAACTCAGGAGTCACAAGTGCGTTGTCACCTCAGTAATCTTTTACATCTTGACACATCATGTTTCCTTAAAATCGTACCCTATTTATTAAACAACAATTAACAAGCTCTTATTTGAAACAAAGTAAAGTCCCCCACGATGAATATAAATATATCCTGTGTCGGTCTTAATCTTCATCAGCAATCTTAGCAAAAAAAAAAGCCGGTCAGCTACGAGGCGAACTCGTGCGCCGAGGGTTCCGTACCTATCCAGATATTACGTAGATTTTTGCGAAAATTTGTAAGTACCAAAATTTATCTTAATTTTCAACTTTTTTATTTTTTTTTAAATTATTCCTTTATTTGTGCTGTAAGACGTTTCTTTTTTCCAAATTTCGTGATTTTAGGTTAACGGGAACTACCATATAGGTTTTCGACCCAAAACCTATAGGCTACTTCCGGTTGACCTAGAATTGTCAATCTTGGTTAAAAGCAAGGTCTTACAGCAAAAGTAAAGAGAAAATTCTGGCAATTAAAAAAGTTGAAAATTAAGATAAATTTTGGTACTTACAAATTTTCACGAAAATCGAAATTTGCCCATAACTTTTTATCGATTGACTCAGGACCTTGATTTTTATGCACCTAATAGGTACCTTAGACCTCAGTATATGGTATAAATTTCAACTTGCTAAGTCTACCCGTCCCTGAGCAAATCGGTGGTGACAGACGGACAAGAAAGTGATCTTATAAGGGTTCCTTTTTTACCTTTTGAGGTATGGAACCCTAAAAAGGATGACTAATATTTTAGTAGGAATCATCATTATTGTACTTTTAAAAACCTCAAGCCAATAAGAGTGCTGTAATTTTTACTATTGGGGTCTGAGAGATCAGTTCATTTAAGAAAAGGAGTCTCTTGCCCAAAATAGTTTGGGAATCCCTATTTTACATAAACACTAATGGTGGGTTGAGGGTTTGATTATAAAACCATATAATATGTATATAAATAATGTTGTAATTTTCTTTCCAGATCAATCACCCACCAAAATGGTCTCACAAATAATATTTACCCTGGCAATACTTCTTACATACACAAACACTGAGTACATACCTCCAGGCCCTGCGTACCCTTGTCCAAAAGATGCAAGCACAACATTACTGTATCCTTGTGTGTGCCAAAGAGGTAGTGACACAGGATTGTACATTAGGTGCGATAACACGGGGCTGGCTGTGCTCAGTGTGGGGTTGGGTAATATTGCTGGATTGGGGTTGCCAATTGAAAGATTGCATTTAAGGGAGTGTAAAATTAGTAAGTATTTCATTTTTTTTCTTTTCTAGACAACTTTTTAAGACTTTGTAAGACGAAAAATTGCGAATTTGATGTAGACATCTTCTCAAACAGTATTCCAAAATTTAAAAGAAAAGTTATTTAGACCTTCTTGTTTGTAAACTATGTATTAGTGTATGTTTTTTAAGTTGTCCTAAATAAATAAATAAACTTTAAAAAAAAGGTTAATCACTGTGGGGCTAAAATTTTATTTAATAATGATAGCCTTTAAATAAATAACCAAATTAAAAATGACTGAATATTTTTTTGTTGCCTTCATGATTTGGGAATCAATTTTTTTTAAGCAATTCAGTTGGTGAGTTGAAGCTTGGTCGATATTAAATTTGAGAAATATATTCCAGCTCTTAAGTTCAAAATTTTAAACATAATTTCAGTTATGTATTAGTAACATTTTATCTAGCAATTTATTGAATGACTTAGAACTTAATTAGAATAGAATAGAATATGCTTTATTGTACACCAATTACAGTAAGTTGGTTAAATATTACGGATGGATATGTACAATGGGCGGCCATATTGCTAACAGCAATCTCTTTGAAAGGACAAGTCGACAGTAGATAAGAAGAAACAGTGGGTAGTCTAGGGGTATTGAAGCTAACGTAGTGTAAAAATAAATAAATATACATTATATAATTATACATACAAATACATATATACTTAGATTATTTTTCTTTTATATTTTTTACATTTTACGATCAAAGACTCAAAAAGTTCATTCAGTGAAAAGAAGCTCATCACTTATCACATCATCATCATCAACAGCCTTTAATGGGATATGGTGGGATGAATGGGGCTGGTGACCTCCGTTTACACACGGAATTTGCCGTTTTAATAACACGGTGGTATTCTTCCAGCAAAACTTTTCGGCTCTCTGTTTCATCGTTCCATCATACGAGTAATGGAGATAGAAGATACTCCTATAAAGGAAATCGACGAATATGCATTCGCTGGTGTCAACAGAACATTGCAAGAGTTGTATTTCAAGAATACGAAGATCAGGGAGTTCCCTGCAGCTGCTTTTAAGGTGGAGTATTTTTTATTTTCATGTCAATTTTCTCTCAAACTTAAATTAGATCCTAAGCGAACCCCCATGCTTTTTTTTTGTTTACTTGCTTGAGGACCCCCTCGGGCCGTCACCCCACCGGGGTTTGCGGCGGGAACTGGTGTGTGGGAATCGGACCGACTAAAACCACACGGTGTGCCACTTTGCGTCTGTAATAGGAGGGAACCCATCCACACTACGACAACCATTTCTTCGTCTCTCCCTTTGATGACTACCCTTAGTATATGTCAAGACCCTTGTATATTTTCAGGTAGCTATCCTCACATATTATAAAATGAAGTCCCCCGGCCACGCCTGTCTGTCTGTATGAATGTATTTTTGTACGGTTTTCAATAGATAGTGTGATTCCTCAGGAAGGTTTAAGGGTTTTTTTTTATTACTTGACAGAGAAAGTTTTCAAAAGGACAGCTTCTGGAGAAACCACATAGGTTTATGGTTTTATGTAAATTGACTAAAATATAAAGATTATTGTCTAAGAGGCGGCAAAAAATCTTATGCTATATAAACCTGGCGAAAAAAAGATCACGGTTACCGAAATCCGATTTGAATCATTTTTTTCAAAACTTAAAATTTCAGTATCTTACATATTTGTGTCATATGTGTCTTTATTATTACAATGTTCGCCATATTTGATATTGACCACGTGACGAAAACCTAACGGCTCCCCCAGCCGCTGTGAAAACGCTTGATATTTTTAATCTCCCTCCTTCCCCCTGAACAGGTCACGTTGTATGGGTACGAACCTTTGTAAACTTGAACAGCAATCACGTAATTTTTCAATGTTATTTGGTGTTGCGCAAGATATGACGTTGCTAAGAATTCTGGCTGGCTTTTATTGCCAGCCTTCTGCCTGACTGCAAACCTATCCAAAGAGGTTTGGCATCGTGCAGGAATAATTTTCAAACGGGACCAAGGGATTAGGAAACCAGATTGTTTGTATCCTTAATTTTAATAAGTAAAACCATCTTCGCCATATTTTGCTCATCACTCCAAGTCACATGTCTATCGGCTGTGGAAAACTGTTTTTAGATGAATTCAGAATGCCTTTTTAAGCTATTTTTTTTTGTCTTAATTCTGGCATCTGACTAATACCAACGAGTTTATTATTAAAAAAAAGTCTGTCAAACAGAAAATATGAAAACAACTACATCTGATAATTAATTTTAATTAATATTTATACATTATAATCAATGAGTATTTGATCTTTTGACTTATAATGTTTGCTAAGTACGTGTTATCGCCACCTATTTCTATTTGACCTATAACAGCGCATGTGTAAATAGTTTCATAATATTAAGATAAACAGTTAAATTGAAATTTTGTTTACAAACCTTTGAAAAATTTAAAAAAGTAATTCAGCTGGATAGTTGGCGCGCCACTACTGTTACGCTCCAATACCAATCTATGGAACGGTTAATCGTCTGCGGTATTTCCGGACCGATACGACCTTCAAGAAAAGAGCGTACTCCTTCCTAAAAGGCCGGCAACGCGCTTGTGACTCCTGAGCTGCAGATGTTCATGGGCGGCGATGGTAACTTTCCATCAGGTGACCCGTCTACTCGTATACCCCCTCTAACATAAAAAAGTATGGTGTAAAATAATGGTAGCAATAGGCTGGTAGCCAGAATAATCTGGCTACCGAAATACGGCAAAAGAAATCCATAAGTATTTCTTTGGCTCCAGTAATTAGGAGGGTGGACAAGACCTCCCTTCTCCTGCCTCCTTATTACGAGAGCCAAGAGGCAAGTCGAAAGGTAGGGAGTCGTATTTGAGCTCACTCTAGAAATTAAGAGAATTTTGGAAAAATTGAGAGGATAAAGGAGGTAATAGAGTAGAACTAAGGAGATACTGAATGGAAATGAATATAAGCTATATTCATTTCCAGCAGGAATAGATTGGGGATAGTTAGTAATAAATGGAGTTGGTCAGGGTCGCGAACCGGTTGATCGGACTTGATGTAAAGTCCGAGCGTTTTTACAGGAGTAATACTTAAAAAAAAGCCGGACGAGTGCGAGTCGATCTCGCCCACCGACGTTTTCGAACAAATTAGGTACTTATAAATAATTCAGGAATCTAATCTGGCAGTTGTTCCGAGCTTTCCCGAAATCCAGTTTCCAAAACCTGTAGTAACTTATATTTTTGTCTTTTAACTCGTATAAGTAAAATCGTACCCTGATGATTGATTACGGACTTTAAATAAATATTATTTTTTTTGTGTGATTTAATCACAAATATGATAAATAAATAAGACGATGCTACTTGCCAAATTTTATAGTTCTTTCCTTTTAAAGAAGAGACTAGAGAAGAAGAGAAGACTATGGAGAAGAAGTGCTTAAAGCTATTTTTTTTTATGCAGAAGAAATACATTATAGCCATAAACCTTTGACAAAAGAACCCTAATAAAGTTTAAACTTAAAAATTAAATGATTTATGATCGAATTTCAATCACTGGGCAACCATTAGTATGTTTTAAATAAATATGTTTTAAGATTTCTAAATATATACATATTGTAGATAAATTACACCCAGACAGAACAAATGGTCGTGCTTATCACACAATATTTGTCCTGGGAACCCACGACTTCTAGCTTAGCAGTCAGGATCGCTCACCACTAGACCAAGAGGCCAGTCAAATTTAAATTGGATAGTCTCTACTAGCTTTTACCCGCGGCTCCGCCCGCGTGTAGGTGGATTATCGCGGCTAACTGTCTATGTCCTTTCTCAAGAATCAAACTATCTCCATAACAAATTTCATCTAAATCGGTTCAGTGGTTATTGATTCCCCATACAAACTGCCACCCCTCTTTTCAACCCTCTTAAAGGATGATTTCTTGTATAAAAACTATCCTATATCCTTTCTCGGGACTCAAACTATCTCCAAACCAAATTTCAACTAAATCGGTTTAAGCGAAGAAGTAACAGACACACACATTTATAATATTAGTTTGTATTCACAGATGCTGGGAAACGTCTCGATATTATCAATCGATGGTCATCTAATGACAAAGTTGAACAAAGACATTTTCGCCGGTAACCTGGCTGCAGGGAAACTGGAGAGATTATATCTCTCTAACGGTCTTCTAGCAGATATACCCATAGAAACGTTTCAGGTAAGTCTAGTTAGTTAGTGCCTGTAATCTTGTCTGTGTAGAATAGAACAGAAGATGAAGAAAAAAACATAAGAAGTAAAGAAACAACAGAAAATAGAGTGTTATTACTGTCATTCTTTTTGTTTTAAAAGACAACTACCGCATTGGGAAAATATCCTGTGTCGCGGGGAACTTTACAAACATATATGAAACGGACACAAAGAACACCCAGACTCGGAACAACAATTTGTGGATCACACAAAGTGTCGTCCCATGTAGGGATCGGACCCACAACACTCAGCGTATTAGGAAGTGGCATAGCGACCACTTAAACCACTACGCCATCCCGCCATAAGGTATTATGGTTTATGAGTGTTACGCCTACTAAATGTTCCAGAAGTTTGGCCATGAAAATTTATAATCCTGGTCTAGACGATCAGGATTATAAAAAAATTCTGATAAAGTATTTAAAAAGAAGAGAATTGAGAAAGAGATGTTGCGTTAACTTGGGTATGTTGAAAGAAAGAGCGAAGAGCGAATGGCTGATCAAATAACACAGGATGTTTTCTTCTCTGACTTCAGAAGTGATTGGTCTCATTATCTGACTGTCCTGTTGTTTTAGTGGTTAGTGACCCTAATTGGTAAGCTAGAGGTCGTGGGTTCGATGCCCACCCAGGACAAATAATTGTGTGATGAGCACGGTTTTAGTACGGCACATTTAATCTGTGTCTAATTTATTTGTAATATTGTTACGAGCTGGGTATATAAATAATAAAAGTTTTTATTAATTACTTTATTTCACTGTATTTACAAACACTCACTACTAGGAATCACCATATGTCTTGTTAGTCACACTAGAAATTCACTCCGATGTTAATTCGCTGTGTCGTAAAACTGAACTGTCTCCAAACACTCTCCGCTTTTACTAGAAAAATCTATAGTATTCGATAGTCCGTTCCAAACCAACAAGAATATTCCAGAATCAGTCACGCGTTACTTGCAGCGCCATCTAGCGCTGTAAGGATCAGAACTACTCGTATTAACCACAATCTTAATAGATGTACTTTAGTCGATACTAGATAATAATAATATAATAATATATCTCACACACTCACACACTCACACACGCGGTCTGATCCCAAACTAGGCAGAGCCTGTGCTATGGTAACCAGACTACTGATAAACATACTTATATATTTCTAAATACATACATATTATAGATAAATTACACCCAGACACAGAACAAATGACCGTGCTCATCACACAATATTTGTCCTGGGTGGGAATCGAACCCACGACCACCGGTGTAGCAGTCAGGGTTACTAACCACTAGACCAACAGGCCCGTCAAAGATGGCCGAACCATTTAATCATATGCCGCAACAATATGTATTTAGTAATATATAAGTATGTTTATCAGCAGTCTGGTTACTATAGTACAGGCTCTGCTTAAGGATCAAACTGCCTTGTGTGAAATGTGTGATGTTATTTTGATTTTCTCTGATTTTCTCTCAGCTCTTTGCAGGGTTTTCAGTGTTTATTTTAACTGACATATTTATAATATTGCAGCCTTTGAGAAAACTTAAAACCTTAGATCTTCACGGCAACAAGTTGGCCACGCTGAAAAGAAACCAGTTCAAAGGTCTGAGAGACACCGAAGTTTTGGATATCAGGTAAGAATTACAGGACTTCTATTTCCATGTGATTAATCATCATCACCATCAACAGCCTTTAGCAGTCCTCTGCTGAACATATGCCTCTCCTTAGAAAGGAGGTTTTGGTCTACTATACCACGCTGGCCACACGGGTTGATGTAGGGTTTGTTTCGAGTGTTCCTTCTCTTTGCAGTGCTGTTGTCTTGCGTAGTTTGCTCTCTTAGTCGTCTCTTACGACACCCACGGGATGAATAGGGGCACTGTATTCCTAATCCGTCACCACACGGACGATAAACATGTTATACTAGCTGACCCGCGCAACTTCGTCTGCGTCTCTCAATAGTAATAAATTATCTCCGTTTTTGAAACATTCTTCATTGGTGCTCCGCTCCTATTGGCCTTAGCGTGATGATATATAGCCTATAGCCTTCCTCGATAAATGGGCTATCTAACACTGAAATAATTTTTCAAATCGGACCAGTAGTTCCTGAGATTAGCGCGTTCAAACAAACAAACAAACAAACTCTTCAGCTTTCTAATATTAGTATACATGAATATAATTTTAATATGCCATGTAGTTGACTCTATTATATATTACGGTTTAGAGCCATTCTTTGGCACATATGTGAGCATGGGGGAGGGGGTCTCCAGTAACCTTTGCTCGTAAGAAGACATGGCAATTCTTGCTACTTTTAAATCATATTTATTAGATGAAATGATTGGGTCTAGTCACTGCGATTTCACATGTGATTGTGATTTCGTCATAGACCAAGCTTGTTAAAAATTTCCTTTTTCCTTGCAGCTACAACAGTATTACGAAATTAGACGGTAGCCACATCGGCGACCTCACGAAACTTGGCTGGTGCAACGCCAGTCATAATCAAATTGGAGACATACCTAGGTAAGTCTGTTCTATTAAAGTTCTCTTATTGGTCTATCGTGGGAGATCCCGGCTCGACAGCAGAGACCACAACCACACAGAAAACCAGTGTCAAGTAATTTTATTTAAATTGGTGGGGGTGGGAGGGGGGGGGGGGGACTTAAGGGTCGGCAACAAACTTTGACCTTTTTTCGTTTGATTATTTAAAAGACAACTCCCGCATTAGGAATATATCCTGTGTCGCGGGAGACTTTACAAACATACATGAAACGGACACAAACAACACCCAGACTCAGAACAACAATGTGTGAATCACACAAACTGTTATTCCATGTGGGGATCAGACCCACAACACTCAGCGTAGTAGTAAACGGCGTGGAGACCGCTTAAACCCCTACAACATCCGTGCAGACATCTTGAGCAGGTGTTTATGGGCGCAGGTAGTCACTTACCACCAGGTGACCCGTAGACAATAAAGAAATTGCTGTATATTCCTTTAAGAGGCAAAAAGCTAACACTTATGCCATTTTTGTGCTGAATAGTAATAGTGTATATTATCATCAGCCTTTACTAGTCCACTGCTGGACATAGGCCTTTCCTTAGAAAGCAGGTGTTGGCCTACTATACCACGCTGGCCAGACGGGTTGGTATAGGGTTTGTGTCGAGTTTTCCTTCTCTGCAGTGGTTGTTCTGCGTAGTTTGTTCCCTTAGTCGGCTCTTACGACACCCACGGGATGAACAGGGGTGGTGACACTCCGTATTCTTAATACCTCACCACACGGACGTGTGTGTACAGGTAAATTAGCTTGGAGAAATTTTTGCGTTTGTAGTAGTGTATGGTTGTGCGTGTTTCCACTTTCCAATATCAAGTGACGATTTTTTGCTTTAGATTGAAATATCTCGGAAACGGTGCGTCCTAGGCCAAAAATAACAAAAATTTTGCCGCCCCCCGTTAACCCCCCGGAGTTTTAAAAACCTAGATGAAAGGAAAAAAAATAAAAAAATTTAAATATCGGTCTCTCCTCTTTGAAGTTTCACTTCTATCGTGTGTGAATCGCACACACCTTTTTTTTTTATAAAGTCAAAACCTTTTTCTTTAAAATAAAAACTTTATTGAAAACAAAAATCAGAGTGTTGCTAGGGATAAGTATAAAATTAAATAGTAATGTTAGGATATCGAAACATTTTTGTATAGGCCAGAACGATATAGTGGAAACGCGCTCTAAGATCTGAGTAATATACACACCACTACATAATATGCAAAAATTTCTCGAGACTAATTTCACTGTAGTAGTGTACAAGTCATTATTTATTCTAAATATCCAAATATATTTATTTTCAGGGGTATGTTTGCAAGAAATACACTTTTAAAAGTACTACATTTGGATAACAATAAAATAAAAAAATTGGACACGAACAGCTTTAGAGGAATGAGGCTTTTGAGGTAAATATATTTTTTTAATTTTGAATTCATCTCATGAAGGTATTATAATAAAAATATAATATATATAATATATTTTACCACATTCACACAACGCCATCTAGTCCCAAACTAAGCAGAGCTTGTACTATGGGTACTAGACAACTGATATAAAAACATATATACTTTTTTTTTGTAAATACATACATATTATACATAGAAACACCCAGACCAAATCAAACATTAAATGTTCATGCACACAAATGTTTGACTTGAGCGGGTATCGAACCCGCGACCTTTGAAATAGCAGTCCGTTACACAAATCACTACGCCATCCGGTCGTCATAATACATAAATTAAAATTATGTAACAGGATCTCTTTCCAAAGTAAATTCAACTACACCAGGGACTTCCTTTCTAGGGTATACCTGGTTCCCCGGCTATTAGTACCCGAGATGGCGTGCGCTTTTAGTCGGTTCGAGTCCGACATGCCACCGATAGGTGGTATCCGAGGGGATTTCCGCACGGAACAAAAGAAAAAAATAAAATAAAAGGGAAATTTAACTAGGCTGCTAATAAACATATATTACTGTAATTATATATAACTAAATATATCATCATCAACAGCCTTTGACAGTCCACTGCTGGACATAGGCCTCTCCTTAGAAATGAGGTTTTGACCACCACGCTGGCCAGACAGTGCTGTTGTCCTGCGTTGACAACTAAACATATATAAACTACCTTTCTAGTGTTAGTGTTTCTAACTGTAAAAGACAAACTTCTATACAACCAATCATCCCTTTTTTTTTGGCCTATTAAGGATAAACTTTAAGGAAAATTACACCCAGACACAGAACAAATGATCGTGCTCATCACACAATTATTTATCCTGGGTGGGAATCGAACCCACAAACTCGCTTAGCAGTCAGGGTCACTAACCACTAGACCAACACGATGGCTGGGCCCCGTATGCCGTCTGTGTGGACGGGTCGACTTAAAACTATGGTCCTTTCTTCAAAAGGCCAACCCAGACCCTATACTGCACTCTTTAACATTGTACTCGGACTTAAAAAAAAAGACACCTCTGTGGTTTGTTTTAGCTTTTCTTCCCAGAGTGAGTCTTTGGAAAATGCCTTCGCCTTCTAGCTGTAAAGTCAGACTTGTAAAAATATCTGAAAAGATTTCATAGAGGAGAATTTTTTATTATAACTCCAGGCGTCTGTATCTCCAAGACAACCAGATATCAGATATCGGTCGTGGCACCTTCTCTTCTGTGACCCGAATCGGTACCGTGGACCTGGCGAGGAACAAGATCCCGAAGGTCGATTTCCAGATGTTCCAGCAGGTTAAATACGCTGAGGTAAGCATTATTATTAGGGGTTTATTGTGACATAATATTCACGCCTGTATTATTCTGCAGGTATAGGCAGGTAGGTAGAAGTGAAGTGTGTTTGTTTGTCTGTGTTTTCATGGCACTTAAAGGGATAGGACCTTGATTTGATTTAGTATTTTTTTGTTTAAAAGTAAACGTATCGAGGTTATTTTCGGGTTTTATCAAAGAAAATCTGTTTAGCCGTTCCAAGGTCATCATCTCTTTCCTAGTTTTTAAGGGGGTTCAGAATAGAATATAGCTTATTGTATTTTTTTTACATAAATTAACATCCAATTAATAAACATGTACATTTTTGTTTAAAGAACTCCCGTACTAGGAATATATCCTGTGTCGCGGTAGACTTTACAAACATACATAAAACGGACACAAAGAACACCCAGACTCAGAACTACAATTTGTGGATCACACATAGTGTTGTCCCATGTGGGGATCGAACCCACAACACTCAACGTAGGAAGGTGACCGCTGTAACCACTACACCATTATTATTTTTTTAGATCCTAAATCTCGCCGAAAATCAAATAACAATAATTGAGAAGCAGGCTTTTACGGACCTGTATCAGGCTGTGGTGAACATCTCCCATAATGCCTTGACCACCATCGAGGCAGAAGCGTTCCAGAACTGCAACAATATGACGTTGCTGGACTTCAGTCACAACAATCTTTCACAAATCCCCAGGAAAGCCTTCGACGAGAACAGCTATGCTTACCATCTACAAATGTCTTATAACAACTTTCAGAATTTTAGTCAGGTAAATATATTTAATATATTGGATTAAAAATACGGAGTGTCACCACCTCTATTCATCCCGTGGGTGTCTTAAGAGCCGACTAAGGGAGCAAACTACGCAGGATAATGTTGTCCATGAGGCCTCGGGTTCGATTCCCGGACCGGGCAAAATTTTATAGGGTTTTTCTGACAGGAAAATAGCCTAAGTTACTACTTATATAGACAGCTACCTGGTAGTAAAATATTATCAAAATCGGTCCAGCCGTTTTGAAGATTACCCAGAACAAACATACAGACAGACAGACAAACAACATTTAAACTGTTTTTTTAGGCATAGGTATCGTGCAAATAACCGTGTGAGCATGAAAAAACCTATTATTTTGATATTTCAAACAGACATTTCAATGTTATTTATTTGTATAGATATTCGGGATACCTGATAGTAACTGACTAAGGCCGCTCTGCCCACCTGATAGGTACTCGAGAGTCCCAAGGGCGTTGCCTTCCCGCACCTAGAATTTTTTTTATGGAAGAGGGCAAACGAGCAGACGAGTCACCTGAAGGAAAGTGACTACCGCCGCCAATGAACGCCTGCAATCAGGAGAAGAGCGATACTTCGGCGCATATGTTCCGGCTCGACCGGACTACCATTGCATCACAAAAAACCGGTTTTTAGCTATTTTTTCGTTGCTTTTTATCGAGTTAATGAGGTCATCAAAGGCCTGACTACTGCCTCCTCCAAATTCTTCGGGGGGGGGGGGGGGGTCTTAAGTTGTAAGTTTCCATCGGCGGCGATAGCCACTTACCACCAGGTGACCGCACTGCTCGACTGCCCTCTTCTCCACAAAAAGTAACTTAAGGTTATTTAAATGTAAAATTTATGACGGTTTTTTATTTATAATTCCAGATACCGATCCTCAACATGGCTGGTATACAGATCCTCAACGCGTCCCACAACCTTATTGAGTCTATACCGAAGCAGGCGTTCCCAAAACTGTACGAACTAAACACAGTGGACCTTTCGTACAACAATATTAGTGAAATATTTAATGGTGTATTTCAGAACCTTTTCTCTTTGCGGTAAGTTTTTGGATTTCGTGCTAAACAATAGTTTCTTGGAACCTGATTGGTCGGGGGGCGGGGCTTGATTGATTCGTCACTATTTTCTTAACGCGAACGGTCTATAGAACCGTTTTTTTTAAATTAAACAAAGTTCTTGATTGTTTTTGCAGATTCGTGAATTTAAGTCACAACTCCCTAGAACAAATCCGTCCATCCACATTCGGCACCGTACCCACGATATTGGAACTCGATCTGTCCCACAACAAGTTGAGAGATATATCCAGAGGGAGTCTGGCAAAGTTGGCCAGTTGCCGATCTATTGACGTCAGCCATAATCAGCTGGAGAAACTGTTCCAAATACCTATAAGTTTAGGGTGAGTATTCGAAGAAAATATTATTTAGCAAGTTGCCCAACATGCTAGACAATTTGTTAGCCAACATGTTAGATGATTTGTCATGGCCAACATGTTGGCAGCACTAACATCACCTTTGTATGTATACGCTATGTATGCATCTTTTTGGTGTGAAACATCTGATGCGGAAAATCAGACCGGATGTTGGCGTGGCGACGCGTCGCCACGTTATGTGGTAGTATATAAAACATGTAATGCGGAGTGATGGAAGTCAATTAATATAAATGTATGTTATTAAACAAACCATCATATATTTACTTTATTTAAATAAAAACCCTTATTCTTAGACTAATCGTTTTTAACAGGGAAGTCATTAGGAATACTAATCAAACCAGTGCAGCATTAAAGCGATAATAAATAAAATCAATAATAATATATTTAATTTCCAGTGAAATAAACTTAGCGGACAACAAACTCACAGAGATCAAAGCAAACACTTGGCCATCGATGAACGCGTTACTTAGAATCAACATGTCGTCCAACATGTTGACCGACACGTTGCACTCCGCCAGCTTCTCCAGCTTGTTGACGTTACAATCGCTCGATTTGTCATACAATGGGTTGACTCGACCACCGTGGGAGGCGTTGAATTCTCTGAGCAGTTTGCAGTATTTATATTTGCAGGTATATTATATAATTATTCGTTTCGATAAGATCGTATGGACTGGAAGGAGGAAGAAGGGTGGGGAATGGAGGGGGGGGGGGGGGGCAAGGAGGAATTAAATTAGTCTGGACAATATTTTGGCACACCTCTCTAATGTCTTCTGTTGCAATTCGATTTGATTGTCGGTCGTACTGTAAAACTATTCTATTAATCAGTAAATAGAATTGTATGTATAATAATTATTATAAATAGTTTTGCGTATACATATTTATTACATTACTACGCCACTATTTCTATTCACATCCCATCACTCATCATACAAAGGAGGTTTTGGCCTACTATACCACGCTGGCCAGACGGGTTGGTAAATCGTTTGTGTTAACTTTTCCTTCTCTCTGCAGTGCCTTTGTCCTGCGTAGTTTACTTCCTTAGGCGCCTCTTACGACACCCACGGAATGAATGAATATTTCTATTATAGTACTAAAAAATCCATTTTATTATACCCTTATTTTACCCCCTTAGGACTGAAATTTCCAAAAACCCTTTCGTAGTGGGTGCTTACAACATAAAAAACATCAACTACCAAAATTTCACGCTTGTAGCCCTCGCGGTCTAGGCTGTGTTTGTGTTCTGTCAGTCAGGGCAAGTGATTTTAAATGCATAGATATTAACAGTCGATTTAGAATATTCTAGAATATTATTATTTTTGATTACAGAACAATAATTTAACATCTCTCAGCAAATCAGCGTTCGGCAACCTCCCCACAACATTCATGATAGATTTATCATATAACCAAATAACAACAGTGGCGCAACGCTCGTTCAACGGCTTGCAGCAGTTGCTCGACCTCTCCCTAAGGGGGAATGGCCTGGAGAGTATTCCCAACGAAGCGTTCAAAGGGCTGGTTGCTTTGAGGTGAGTTTGTAAGGCACTAGATTTTCTCTATACCTTCTCTTCTGCTGTCAACCCTACTCTGTCTGGTGGTTCAATAGAAAAGTTTAATAGACGCTGTGAATTTTTATGTGAAAGACTAAGGCGAGTCTTCATACCTATTGTAATATCAGCATTTGCCCGCGGTTCCGTTTAACTTTCCATTGGTGACAGTATTTATAAATCAGTTGTGAATGCGTAACAAGCAAACAAACAAACACAACAAACATTCAGAATCTAGGTACCGATTTAGAATAGAATAATCTTTATTGTACACCAATTCAGGATATTATACATACAATAGTATTCCAAGATAATGACCATGTACAAATGGCGGCCTTATCGCTAAAAAGCAATCTCTTACAGACAACCTTTGGATGGACAAATAGACTGTAAATAGGTAATTTCATGGGCAGATTTAAAGATATCAAATCAATAAAAACATTAAATTGATAATGGAGGACAATTCTGGCTGTACTTTATAATGTTACATTAAATTCAAACTCTCTTTATTTCATAAAAAAATTAAAATTGTTTGAAATCGTCTTTTATGTAGACTCTAAAGTCATAGATCAACACACACAAAAGCAACAATCTCTGTTTTCACAAATTGTAAGCAAATATATTTAACAAATTTAAACTTATACAAAATCTATGATATACCTGTGCCGATCTATAACCGCCCGTTTCCAAGGAGTTGAGCCTTATAAGAAGAAAGGGCAAACAAACTCATGGCCGCTCTTTTGCAATTCATAGGTAGATACAATGGCACTATTAAATATATCACAACATTGTTTTGATTTGTGCCAGTATGTCCGTTATAGTACGGGAGCTAGCAACGTTTGGAAAGTAAGAATTTTAGATTAGATTTTGTGATATGTCGTCCTTCTTGCACTTTCGGTTAGAATCTGGGCTATCTGGCTGGCGGTAGCGGTTGCGTTCATTAGTGCGCATCCTACCTGTCCAGGTAATAATCCTGTATTTTAAAAACATTTTAGAAGGCGTAATTTTTAATTTTTTGTTTTTAAATAAGTCTACCTGACATACTTTTTTTATTGCCAGACATTTTTGACAATGCTAACTAAATGTCTGTAATTTTAATATTATGTTATTTAAAGATAACAAAAATTTAAAATATATTTGCCAGACATTAATTCGATTGTTATATTATCAGCTGACCTAAAATTCTTTCTCGAAAACGTTGCTAGCTCCTATACTATTATAAAAGACAATGAAGAGAGAACAAGATTACAACACAACAAGATTAGAACAACAGAAATTTAAGTGAAAATAATAATAGAAAAGATAATAATAATAAAAAAATCACCCAATCCCAAGCATTTTTGTCTTCTATGTAATCCACAATTGAGTAGTAGGTCCTATAAAAGTGCATGTGTAATAATTTATTTTAAACCTAGGAATCTATCCTATCATAGTACTAGTTATTGCAAGCGGCATCGCTCTCGATTTTTTTGGAACGAATATTGGAGCGAGACCGAAAAATGTGTAACAAGACTTTTTTCCGACACCTAAGTTAGCACGTAGACACTTACATCTTTTTTAAGTCTATAGCAAACGTCTATCAAAAAGCGAAAGGAACTTGGTTCCGACCATGGGTCTATAGGCCCCTCGCGCCGTTTTTTTCTTATTTTGTGTTTTTAACTTTGAGAAGTACGAACTACCATACAACCCTTCAACCCTTATTTATTTAGGAGAGAGTCCAAAAATCCTTTCTTATTGGGTGCTTACAACATAAAAAGAATCAGCTGCCAAAATGTCAAGTTAGTAACCCCAGCTTTTTAGGGTCTGCTTTGATGAATCAGTCACTCATGGCAAGAAATTTCATATGTACAGATAATTTTTTTATTACAGAAAACTGGATTTATCCCACAATTTCCTTGAAAAAATTGATAACAAAACCAATGGATTGTTGGATGATTGCCTGTCTCTAGAGATGGTGAGTACACATAAATCCAGTCGCAAGTTTGAACATTCCAGAATCTTTCACGATGTTCTAGAAGTTTCTAGACACGTGTCAAGTTATGACGAAATTTCTGGCAAACTACACAGGACAACAGCACTGCAAAAAGAAGGAAAACTTGAAACAAACCCTATACCAACCCGTCTGGCCAGCGTGGCATAGTAGGCCAAAACCTCCTTTCTAAGGAGAGGCCTATGTCCAGCTGTGGACTAATTACAGGCTGTTGATAATGATGATTTCCGGGAAATTCACGGCCCTTCTGTAACTTGAGGAACTTGACGCGAAACGATACAGTTCATACTAGTTTTGCAAAACAATTACAAAGTATTAATATATTAAGTCTTATTTTACTTCCAACTCCTCCAATTAACTTCTGATTAATTTCGTTGCGGGTTCCAAGACAGTTTAATTTTTTCCTGGGACCTCCCAAGTGTCATAACTCGGTGTGTTCGTGGGTCACTGCTGTGGATCCTGGTGTACTGGAATTACAGTTTTGGGTGTGTGGGAGGGATTAGAATTGTTGTTAATTGCGGATGATTGCCAATAAAGACGACCCTATTGGTTTAGTGGTTAGAGACTCTGACTGCTAAGCCGGAGGTCGTGGGTTCGATTCCCATCCAGGACAAATATTGTGTGATGAGCACGATCATTTGTTATGTGTCTGGATGTAATTTATTCAGAAATATATAAGTATGTTTATCAACAGTCTGGTTACCATAGTACAGGCTCTGTCTAGTTTGAGATCAAACAGCCGTGTGTAAGAATTGTCGAGCTATTATTATTTCACTGATCTCCAAATACTTCTGGTTACAGGTGAACCTGAGCCACAATAAATTCGGGTTCCTCACAAAGAAAATGTTCCCCTCAAACCCCTGGATCCCGTACAGACTGCAAGAAATCGACCTGAGTTACAACGACATACCTGTAGTCACATACGACCTCACTGTTGGAGCTAAGAAAGTCAAAAAATTGAACTTATCAGGAAATATTATCAACGAAGTGAGAAACAGTAAGTGTTCTTAACCGACTTGAAGAATAAGAAGGTTATTATTAATGTTTTTCAAGTGAAAACTTGTTTAGGCGCTGTGGAGGAACGGGTGGCATGTCCTTCTAACACAAAGGGAGGATCCTCCGACCAGGCGAGGTGATCCTGCCTGGTGGGCCGCGGCCCAAGGGTTGATGTTGGGAAGTTATATATATATATGCCAATCATCGCGAAAATTCTTCATATCGGCATACAGGATTAGCAATTCTCATTCAGGAGTTACTTCGTAGTTCGGTGTGACTCCGTTAGATGGCGCTGTAGTATGTTTCTGTTTTCATGTATGTGGGATTCGCCACAAGCGCGTTGGGCATTTTTAACAACGAACAAAAGAATGTATTTTTTGAGATGGGAAATAACCATTGAATTCGCGACACGGTTACCGTTACCGACACCTCTGTATATAAGTATCTACATATATTGGCGCCGTTTACACGAGAGTTGAGTTTGGGTTTGACATTGATAATATTACTATATATAATATAAACATATATTGCGTTACGTACAACATAGATACATATTAATGTCAGAACTTTTAGACTCGAAAAAGAAAAACAAAAAAAAAACCTGTTATAATCATTTTATTTTTATTTTAGAGTTTTTACTTCCGTTTTTATTGTCCATGTGGTGACGGATTAAGAATACAGAGTGTCACCACCCCTATTCTAGGAAGCAAACTACGTAGGACAACAGCACTGCAGAGAGAAGGAAAACTTGAAACTAACCCTATCCCAACCCGTCTGGCCAGCGTGGTGTAGTAGACCAAAACCTCCTTTCTAAGGAGAGGCATATGTCCAGCAGTGGACTAGTAAAGGTTGTTGATGATGATGATGATGATGATATTTTTACTTCTGTCGGCACTTCCGGACCACCATTGTTTTCTTTTGTTATAAGGTGGCAAACGAGCAGACGTGTCACTTCATGGTAAGTGAGTACCGCCGCCCATCATACCTGTAACTCAATAGTCACAAAGGCTTCGCTCCTGTTTCCCCCCCCGAGAATCATGTAATAACAGTAAGTCGCAGTGGTTTTGTAAATTAGTCACAGCTGTGATCATATGAATTATAAATCATATGGTCACATGTGATTGTGATTTTATTTCCTAATATAAACCAGTTCAACAATATTTTTTTGGCAGATGTCCTCGGAAATTTGACCTCATTAGAGATATTGGATTTATCTAACAACAACTTAAAGGATTTGGTTTCCAGAACATGTGAGTATTATAATTTTTTTATGAAAGTTATATGATGGTGAACGAGCAGACTGGTCACCGGATGGTAAGCGATCACCGCCGCCAATGGTCACCTAAGCGTCACAAGTGATTTCGCCCCTTTGCCCCCCAAAATTAGTTTAGTCCTGTCAAAGAACGTTTCGTATTCTGCAAACGTAGTATTTGACAGGACTAAACAATTTTTTTGTGATTTGTAGTTTAGTTTGGAAAGTTTTCGAACAACAGAACTAGCACCATTATTTGTGCAGACAGACACGAAACCAATGGTCATGCCATTGGTTTTGTGTCTGTCTGTAATTCATCTACAATATATGTATATATTTATAAACATTTATGTATTACTAGCTGATTTGCGCAACTTCGACTGCGTCTTTGAAAAGGAATAAATTTTCCCCGTTTTTGCAACATTCTTCATTGGTGCTCCGCTCCTATTGGTCTTGGCGTGATTATATAAAGCCTATAGCCTTCCTCGATAAATGGGCTATCTAATATTGAAAGATTTTTTTCAAATCGGACCAGTAGTTCCTGAGATTAGCGCGTTCAAACAAACAAACTCTTTATAATATTAGTATAGATTTGTATTGTTTGTTAGACCATTTCGGACTTACGTAATCCTTAATTGTGCGCGTTTCATGTATGTTTGTAAAGTCCCCTGTGATACAATATATATATTTCTATTCCTAAAAATGAAAAAATAAATAAAACAAAAATTAACTTAGGAAAGCTACAGACTAACACACACAGCTGAGTAACGCTTAAATTGCTAATAATAAGCTTCCACATATGAATACCCAATAATAAACCACAATTATACATAATATTAAAACCAAAAACGAAGTTATAGGCAACACAAAAAAAAACAAAATTAAAAAAATAATTAAAACAGATAAACAAGGTAATTCAGTAGCTATATCTACCGGTCGCTGCCAAAAAAATATTTACTGAAAAATCATTTGAATTTGTACCACAACAGATCTAAGTTCAATTTTGATGCCACATCAGTATAGCTCTCAGCAAAGATACGAGTTCCGCCTATAGTTAGCTACAGCAAAGCGAACGTGTAATAGGGGACGATGTCTAAAACCTAATTGATTCTTTCCAAGTGTGATATTGCTCAGCAATTCTGGACAATCAATGGTACCATTGGCGATGTTTATCAGGAAACATATGTCACTAACAGTTCGTCTCTGTTCCAAAGGAAAGAAATGTTAACGCTTGCAACGTTAATTGTAATCGGCAGAGTATTGTTGGGCTTTAATCCATACTAATATTATAAAGCTGAAGAGTTTGTTTGTTTGTTTGAACGCGCTAATCTCAGGAACTACTGGTCCGATTTGAAAAATTCTCTTAGTGTTAGATAGCCCATTTATCGAGGAAGGCTATAGGCTATATATCATCACGCTAAGACCAATAGGAGCGGAGCACCAATGATATATGTTTCAAAAACGGAGAAAATTATTACTATTGAGAGACGCAGACGAAGTTGCGCGGGTCAGCTAGTATCTAAATAATGCAAAAACTTTCGCAGAATACCCTCTATGCGCGATTTATAAACTTGATATTGTGGATTCTGTAAATACTGGATATGGTTTTATAGCTTATATTCCTTTTACAGCCGAAATAAAATTCGCTCTCCCAGAGAATATAACGGAACTGTATTTACAAAACAATTCGTTACTATCTCTGCCTACCCCACATCTAGTGAACGCGTCACAATTGAAGTTGCTGGACCTCAGAAACAACCAGTTAGTAAGCTTCGAGCCGGAAATTGTCAAAAAGGTGGAAAAAGATGGATTGGTTGTGTATTTTGAAGGTAAGTTGATTATTATATACGATCTGACCTGTTGGTTTAGTAGTTAGTGACTCTAATTGCTAAGCCAGACGTCGCGGGTTCGATTCCCACACATGACTAATAATTTAAATAGGAGCACGATCATTTGCTCTGCGTCTGCGTGTTATTTATCTATAATATGTATGTATTTAGAAATATATAAGTATGTTTATCAGCAGACGACTGCATGGATGGCGTAATGGTTAAAGCGATCACCTCGCCGCTTCCTACTAAGCATTGTGGGTTCGATTCCCACATGGGACAACACTTTGTGTGATCCACAAATTGTGGTTACCGTAGTACAGGCTCTGCCTAGTTTGGGAGCAGACAGCCGTATGTGATACGTGTAAGGTTATTATTTTATAATCAGCAGTTTGGTTACCACAGTACAGGCTGTTTAGGATCAGAGGACCGTGTGTATCAGGACATTTTTTTTTCAGGTAACAATCTAAAATGTGATTGCTTCATACGCCCCTTAAAACACTACTTGAATCACATCACGCCATCTTTATTAAAAATTGACCAAAAATATCAAAATCTCACATGCGCCGAACCTGCCACATTGGAGAACAAAAACTTACTAACAGTCGATGAGGAAAGATTATTGTGCATTGGCAACACTGAAGTTGATAGTAAGATTATTGAGCATAGCAACACTGAAGGCGAGACGACTTTCGATTTCATCTTGGAACCAGATGTCGCTTTTCGACATGTACAATAGTAAGTCAATTTTTATTTATTTTTATTCGAGTGATGGGGTGTAAGGGGAGGTGGGGTACACTACTCAGGATAACAGTAAAGAAAAAGAGAAGGAAAACTTGACACAAACCCTATACCAACCCGTCTGGCCAGCGTGGTATAGTAGGCCAAAACCTTCTTTCTAAGGAGAGCCCTATGTCCAGCAGTGGACTATTAAAGGCTGTTGGTGATGGGGTGGGGTTATGAACTTCCTTGAAATAAGTAAGTATTGGGGGATGACATCCAATCCCGACTAGCTTCTGGCCTGTTTTCAAAGAATGAAGGACTGTTTAGGGGGACATTTTTGTGTAAATAGGACTCCGAAGAAGGTGCAATTTGTACATACTTGAAGTTAAACGAACTAGACTCAACTAGGGAGACCATGATCCCATATTCCTCCTGAATCTGCACGTTTCATGATATAAGAGGATAAACTAGGCAGATAGACCTCCTGATAGTAAGCACCAGTCGCAAGTACGTTGGCGTCCAGGATCAGGGGAATAGGAGTTTGGGGGGTCGTCTACTCGTCTGTAGATGACCCGAGGTATGTCGGGGCACCAGGGACTTCCTTTCTAGGATATACCTGGTTCCCCGGCTATTAGTACCCGAGACGGCGTGCGGTTTTAGTCGGTTCGAGTCCGACATACCACCGACAGGTGGTATCCGAGAGGATTGCCGCACGGAAAAAAAAAGGGGAATAGGAGTTTGAGCGGTTTTTTTGTTAGCAGGGCCATTTGCCGCATGGTTAATAAAATATCTCTATTCTTCTTTTCAGCTCCCAAACATCCATTTATGTCCACTGGTTTGTCTCAACGAAGGAAGATGTGGCCGATTTTGTAATTTACGTCAGAGACGGTTCAAACAAGCTCCAATATTCCTCCGATATAGGTTACCATCTCCGCTCTATCACCATCCCCATAGAAGAAGAATTTAAAACCGCTTTGAAATCAGGCGGAAATTATCAAATTTGCATCCAAGCGAAAAGCTCTAATGGTGCGCCGAGAAAATGGCACCCATCTCAGTGTCAAACCGTCCCATCCGACTTCGATTCCTGGGCAAGGAAGTTGGTTGTAGACAAAAGGAAAATTACTAAAAAGAAGTCTAGAAGGGGGTGGCTCTTTAATAGTGTTATGGGGTTAGTGAGTGACTCGATATTGATTACTTTGTGTATATTTCTTGGGGTGTGTTTTAAAATAACTGACGGTTTGTGAGATTTTTGTATTGTAAAGGTCTTCATTCACTATTCTGGAACAATTTTACTCGTGAAGTTTTGCTGAGTAAAAGTAAAATTCGAGGAAAATGTAACATCTGTTTTACACTTTGAGTCAAGGCTTTTTGACGGTTTCAAACGTCACCCTCACTGCGTCATATTTTATTCTGTAGAGCCATCATTATATTGAATAGAAATACACATTTTTATTAAACAACGAATCTCAGTATTAGGTAAATCGTTTCATCACAAAAAAAAAACGACTATCGAATCGAATGAAAAATTCGATTGTATTTAAATTAGTATACGATTAATCGGTTCATTAATACTCGTATCGTATTAGTCCTGAAAAGTGAGTGAGTGAGGTTATAGGAGTCCAATCTTTTCCTCCCCTATTTCTTAAGGGGCAAGGGCTTAAAAGGCGACAACGCACTCTTGACTCCCGAGTTGCGGGTTGCGGTGGTACTCACCTACCATCAGGTGAGGTTTTATACAAAAAAAAGTGTGAGTCAGCTTCGATGCACGACTGGAGAGTTTACTCCTTAAGAACGCATACCAGCGCCATCTATGTAAATGTTAGTGAAATAATTAGAAGTCACGTATTAATAGGCATATATTTTGGGGTTTCTGCCGTTTTGAAACAATTTTAATTTTGTAGTGGACTACTAAGTAAACTGAAACAAATTGCAATCATAGAACTCACAAAAAATATTACTACAACCACGTAAAGGTAAATAGTTAAACCGCCATCTATAAATTACATTTAGAACTAAAAATCATAATGAGGTTATTCGATCACAAAATTTTACTCTTCATATTTTTTACATAGCGGATGCATTATATGAGAATCGATTCTTAAGGAGTAAACTCCAAAAAAAATAATTGTTTAATAGTTCTAAAGACTGCTATAAAAGTTATTAAGAGATCTGATTGAACCTACTTAAAAAATTTAGTCTCTGAAAGTCCAAATGAAAACATACAATAATTGTGTAAACAATTTATTACGAACATTATTATTGAACGCGTTTCTTCATTCCAACTTATAAATGTATTTTTTAACCACAAAAAAGAAGAAATTTTGTATTTTTTTTGTTTGTTTTCTAAGACCTCTTTTATTATGAACAGTTTTAAAAATATCTATGTTTTTATTTCGGTAACGTATACTTTGTTTGGTCCCATTCAAAATTAAAGAAAAATACCACCTTAAGGGTGGCAAATTGGGGAATAAAGAATACAGTTTATAACAGTTAAAATTGGTCGTACTATTTAATTAAACATTGGCTATGCCTTATATATCCACGGTTTTAATTTAAGGTTATTACCACTGCCATTAATGTAATGTCACAAAACTATGGAGGTTTATACTTAAATAGTTGGTCAGTCAGTTCTATTCCTCACATCTTGCTGACAGCTTCACATGCAATTGACTGCACTAATGGCGTAGTGGTTTAAGCGGTCGCCACGCCGCTTACTACTACGCCGAATGTTGTGGGTTAAAACCTGGATAATCACATACTTATTAAGGCACTTTCTTAAGGCACTGCACTGCATGGATGGCGTCGTGGTTTAAGCGGTTGCACGCCGCTTCCTACTGCGCTGAGCGTCGTGGGTTTGATCCCCACATGGAACGACACTTTGTGTGATCCACAAATTGTTGTTCTGAGACTGGGTGTTCTTTGTGTCCGTTTCATGTATGTTTGTAAAGTCCCTCGCGACACAGGATACATTCTCAATGCGGGAGTTGGCTTTAAAAAAAAAATGGAGTCCTCCTCCTAAGCTCCTGACTTGAGTATTAGGAGGTATTCATTAATTATGTAACGGTCACCGTGACAATTTTAACATTCCTACCCTCATACGATAATAATTTTTGTTAAGTGAGATTTTTTTCCTTTTTTTTTTAATTTTTTAAAGCTGAATAGCTATTCAAAAAGGAGTATCAAACCTTCAAGAACGTACTCCTTCCTAAAAGGCTGACAATGCGTTTGTGACTACTGAGTTGCAGACGTTCATTAGCGACGGTGGTCAATTTCCATCAGGTGACCCGTATGTTCGTCTACCCCCTCTTCCAAAAAAAAAAAGTAAACATACAGGATTTATTTCAAAGATAATCTTCTAATATATAAAATTCTCGTGTCACGGTGTGCGTGGTTGAACTCCTCCGAAACGGCTCGACCAGTTTTCGTGAAATTTTGTGTGCATATCGGGTAGGTCTGAGAATCGGCCAACATCTATTTTTCACACACCTAATGTTTTTTTTTGACAATTTTTTTTGAAATAATGTAAATGGCAAAACAACGTTTGCCAGGTCAGCTAGTTATCTATATTATTCTAGACTTGCTTCTGCCTTCGGCTTCGCATGCTGTAATCTCGATTTTGACAATAACCTAATGAAAAATACCTACTACTCCTTGATGAAGGTCAAGTCTCGGACCCAACATGGGTTGTTACGTCCGAGGCTGGAATGGCATTCTTAAAACATTCGTAGGCAAGTTTGTATCTTTTCAAAGCTTGTTTTAATATGTCTCTGAAAAGCATTCGTGATTTTAGTAGACTTAAATGATGTACCTGTGTTTAATCTGTGAAAAAAAAAATACATACCTGCATATATCATCACAATGATTAGCTTTAAAATGACTTAACGCAGCTCAAAATATTAAATATTATTATATATTTATGCTTAAAAATTAAGTGATTATACATTTATACATGTTTTATATATATTTTATACAATTTTTATATTTTTATAAGAGAAAATGAAAATCCGTCCTATTTTGATATTATTTTATTGTAATAAATATAAAGTTACCTTTTATAAATTTAAAAATGCATTTTTATTGCTGTTCTACCTACTTACACGTGAGATACCCCAGATATTCGACAGCTGGATATACGGATCTCCGGATATCCGGAAAACGAAGACGGACAATGGTATTAATGCTAACTTGGATGATGGGTCAGAACAAAATCATCTTTTTACAACGTCTTTTTAGTATTTTCGCGTCTTTACGTTAGTAATCCTAAATAATAATAATATTCTACCACATTCACAAAACGCTATCTAGTCCCAAACTAAGCAGAGCTTGTACTATGGGTACTAGACAACTGATATAAATATATACATACTTTTTTTTGTTAATACATACATATAAACACCCAGACCAAATCAAACATTAAATGTTCATGCACACAAATGTTTGACTTGAGCGGGAATGGAACCCGCGACCCTTGGAATAGCAGTCCGTTACACAAACCACTACGCCATCCGGTCGTAAATAATACAATAATTTTATAAAAATATATATCACGTTGCTAAACAATACAATGATTAAATTAAAACAGCTAATTAGGAAACTGTAGCAGCGTGAACAATGCTATCAAGTTAATTATTTAAAAAAAAGCAAAAACCCGACTACGTGAATATGTCTTGTATTATACATATTTTTTGTTCATCAACAGCCTTTAAACAGTCCACTGCTGGACATAGGCCTCTCCTTAGAAAAGGGGTTGGGCCTACTATACCACACTGGCCACACGGGTTGGTATAGGGTTTGTGTCAAGTTTTTCTTCTCTTTGCAGTGTGTCCTGCGTAATTTGCTCCCTTTGTCTGTTTTTACTAGAATTTAGAAACCGGCGAATTTAATTTTCATATACCCAGTGTTAAGGTCGCCGACTTAAACGACTGGGAGAGGCCCATCCAACCAAAGTATGAGCATTTTAATATGGATTTAACATCGCGCTATGTAGACGCACGTTACAGTAACAACAGAAACCGGTAACCTCGTTCTGGGCGCAGTCGTTTAAGTCGGCTACGACCTTTACTCTCACAATTAACACGAATCTAGCGACACCTCATAAACCTTGAAAATCACAACTCGCTAATCTAATTTTGTAATAAAACGTTGTACAAAGACGTTTTTTCCATCAGCATCGATTTTATTTCTAACCCATCATCAAAGTATCATTAGTACCATCGTCTGTCTTCGGTCGAGTTCGTTTCCTTAACAATCTGTATAATACTACGATCCTTAAACAAATCACAAACAATATCAACTGCGGCCGATGAGTTCTTTCTTGACATCCGTTTTGTACTCCAATTCTTCGTATTGTTCATGAGTCGGGATCGTCTTGTAACTGGGTCCAGAGATGTCGTTAGCTTCTAGAGCGTAGGAATTCCATGACGCAGGGAAGTATGAACCTGTGTTAGATACAAAAATATGTTCATCAACAGCCTTTAATAGTTCACTGCTGGACATAGGCCTCTCCTTAGAAAGGAGGTTTGGGCCTACTATACCACGCTGGCCAGACGGGTTGGTATAGGGTTTGTGTCAAGTTTTCCTTCTCTTTGCAGTGCTGTTGTCCTGCTTAGTTTGCTCCCTTAGTCGGCTCTTACGACACCCACAGGATGAATAGGGTTGGTGACACTCTGTATTCTTAATCCGTCACCACACGGACCGAGGTCCCATACTATAATAAAATAATATTTTATTTATAGCTCTCAGCAAAAAGGTAGGTACAACTTAGGAAATAAGTCAAACTATTCCTTTGTGAGAGTCTGGTATCTGTATTTTAAACTTTTTTTTAAAGTGGGCTTAAGTAAAGTATTTTAAACTTCGTTGGACATTTTTGAACAACAAACTCATTTTTTAAGATGGGAAAAACCATTGAACTCGCGACACTGTTACCGTTACCGACACCTCTGTATTTAAGTTTACACTTCTGTCGGTGCCACTTTTTAACGTGTGGAAACCCGGGTTCGGGGGTTTCCACACGGCGGAGTGGTGTGTCGAAACCGGACCGATTAAAACCACACGGTGTGTCTCTCTGCGCCTGTAATAGGAGGGGTCCGGGAACTGCTCCCTACAACCGGCTAGATCAGCACCTGGTATAATCTTTCTTAGCGCAACCCTATGAATGCACGTGCCCGTGTGCACTACTAGAATGCCCCATTCTGGGGAGAGGGGCGTCAACACTTCTTTCTATTGAATTACATTTTCCCATGGGTTATCATTATTATTCTATAACAACTAGTTACCGAACAAAATCTTAAGTCATGTAGTGTAGTTAAATATAAATAAAATATGAATTTCTTACCTACATCAGTAAGACTTCGAACATGACCTGTGAACAAAAACTGATCTTTTATTAAGTGTTTTTGTGTAAGATTTTGTTTGATAACAATGAGACATTGGACAAAAGCACAGTGAAATGTGATTTATATTAGTCGATTTTTGCGTACATAGGATAGGGTTATTAGGTAGCAGGTAGGTTAGACGCTATTTAATAGTAAATCTAGTTTTTTTTAATTATTATGTCGGGAATATAATTACTATATAGATTTATTGTTAAATAGGCGAATTAGGGTCTTTATGCATCGTCTGAAAACATCTTATTGGCAACAACGCGTGGTAAGTAGTAACCCTAAACTACGTGCGAAAATATCGAATGAAAAATCACCGTTCATTCACAGTTCACTGTGATTTTGTCCCATGTCTAATAACAATTCTAAATAGGTATCGTAAGTACCAATCAGTTTTAATAATATCGATTAACTGTGTTTTTTTTGGGACTAATCCCACCCACACGCCCACCACTGTAACTCCTGTACACCAGGATCCACAGCAGTGACCCACGAACACACCGAGTTATGACACTCGGGAAGTCCCAGGAAGAAATTAAACTGTCTTGGAACCCGCAACGAAATTAATCAGAAGAAAATTGGAGGAGTTGGAAATACAGTAAATCCACTTCCCTCCTTAGCAAAGCGGGAGACAAAATGAAGTAAAATGGGCATACACCCTTTTAAACAGGGGAGCACCACGGCCACAAATATTACGGGTCCTACGTGAGCTATGTTTGATTATAGAAATCAAACATAGCTCACGTAGGACCCGTAATATGTATGGCAGAATCGCCTAAACGCACGGAAATTCACCCTAGTTGACACAAGATCCCCATAGTATACCGCCCCAGATGTCACCTGCAAGCTATTCAGCATTATATTACGTTCATTATACCAAAGACTACATTCCCAGAGGATATGATGAGCAGACTGTTCATAGTGAGAGTTAGGTGTTGAGCATTGACACAATTAACATTGTTTGTAATATGTTATATATTTATGTATGAATGACATTTACCAGACGTTACCGGATTTCTTTCGTGTGCGAAACTCCCCTCGGATACCACCCACCAGCGGGTGATTAGTTCGGACTCGAACCGACCAAAAACCGCACGCCGTTTCCAGGCGCCAGTAGCCGGGAAACCAGGTATACCGTAGAAAGAAAAGCCCTGGTTCCCCGTCAGCAAAAGCAGGTAGGTGGCAACGCGACAAGATACGTAGCGGACACGCGCTTTGAGGAGCAGGAAAGGAACATCCGGGTTAACACACAGGAGGGGTCTATTAGCCGTAGATGACCCGAGGTACCAGACGTTTCCCCTAAAAAAGTGTCATTATTTGTTGTGTAGATCATGCCTTTTCTTTTCTTGTTGACGGGGTGGAAAATCCCTGTGCAGATCATGCCTACAGTTATCGTTTCAAGATATTGCGTGAATTAGCATACTTCAGGGGTTGTAAACCTTTTTAATAGAAACATAATTGTGATTAACCGTGGGAAGGCCGTGCTTAGGCACATCCGATTCAGACCGGAGTAATATCAGGGTCTCATAGAAAACCGGTTTTAGTTAAGACGAGGGTCTCGAAGGCTGGTGATGCAATTGTGAGCTTGAGCTTCAGGTATCCATGTGCAGCTATAGTCCCTTTTCCTCAGGTGATCTGTCTGCTCGATTGCCACCTATATGGGGTCGGCTTACATAGGCTCTTACTAGACGGTAACACATTCTAAAAACCTTATTACACAACTTGTTATAAAGTTAGTAGAACATGGATAACAACATACATATTAAGGCAGTTTCTTAAGGCACTGCACTGCATGGATGGCGTCGTGGTTTAAGCGGTTGCACGCCGCTTCCTACTGCGCTGAGCGTCGTGGGTTCGATCCCCACATGTGACGACACTTTGTGTGATCCACAAATTGTTGTTCTGAGTCTGGGTGTTCTTTGTATTTGTTTCATGTATGTTTGTAAATAACTTCTGTCTGAGTTGTCACTTGGGGAAGGCTGGTTGAGGTTCCAGTAACCTCCCTCACTCGGAGAAAATTAATAAAAGAAGTACTCAACACCGGTTGTCTGTGAGGCCGTCATATCATGGTCTATTTATGGTGCAGCATGATTCTCCCATTCTCTCTCCCCTAAGTTTTAGACTTATGAGATTCCTTTTGACGTGTCCAACAGATTCCACGGAACCCTATGATGAATCAAGGAACCCTTTACTTTTTAATTTCTTATATAACTTCCGCAGAAAATAGTGCAATATCCATACCGTGATGATCAAAATGTGGAGACCAGGACCAGTCGGGTTGATGATTATTTTTAGCCTTCAACGAAGTAAAGAATGATGCCACCTGGGAACAGAAGCAATACAATGATAAAATAAAAAAAAGAGGGGCAAGAGGTTTAGTGGTTAGAGGCTTGACTGCCATGCCAGAGGTCGTAGGTTCGATTCTCACCCAGAAGCAGTCTGGCCATCGAAGCACAGGCTCTGCCTAGTTTGGGATTAGACGGCCGTGTGTGAGATGTGTGATGGTATATTACTATACTAAATTTTTTTTTTGTTTTTCAACAGGTTTTGACAGTCCACTACTTGACATAGGACTCTCCTTAGAAAGGAGGGTTTGACCCTTTGGTTTGAGGGATTAAGAATGCAGTGTCACCACCGCTATTCATCCCGTGGGTGTCGTAAGAGGCGACTAAGGGAGCAAACTAAGCAGGACAACAGCACTGCAGAGAGAAGGAAAACTTGAAACAACCCTATACGAACCCGTCTGGCCAGCGTGGTATAGTAGGCCAAAACCTCCTTTCTAAGAAGAGGCCTAGCTTCTACAGTGGACTAGTAAAGGCTGTTGATGTGATGATGATGATGATGAAACACATTTCAACGTTAATTTCTTTGAGCTCTATTCGTGACGGCCACCACATTGACTTCTATTTAAATGATCTTAAGAAGTACATGGACATCATTTCATATTTAAAGTTGATTAAAATACATTTTTTACGTATCTATTTGTTCTTTTAGTATCACTCATAGGTAAGTAACGAATTTCATGGTTTTTTGACCCGCGGTTCCATCCTTGTCACAGCTGGCCACATTTGTGTCATGTCCGTGCACAATACGTGGCTTCATATTTTGCAAATTTTACATTTAGAAATTATTAAATTAAAAAAGCAGTTCCAAAATTGGAAATATTTTTAAGTTTACTCTTAATAATTCAAATTTCGCGTCTTACTATTTAGAATTTGAAATGTGTCACGAATCATACGACCTCTCCAATCCCTTGTCACACATTGTTTTGTATCATTTTGTTAACCCCCTCCTACTTCTTACCATGTGATGTAATTTATAGATGGCCAAAAATTAACCAAAGGGCAAGTATACCCTCCCAAATAAACAATAATCTTCCAAATCGGTTTATTAATAACGGAATGCTGAGGTCACAAACATGAAAACCGGGAGAGGTTTAGAACTCTCAGGCCCGGCAACGGGTCAGGTACCGCAGACGACTCAGGCGCCGGAGGTTGTAGAATGACCTCCGTCCTCCATAAGCGCAGACCTGGGGGTGGTAGGTGAGGCCATATGTCACCCTAGCAGAAGCAGGCCGGGGTGGTGGCAAGACGCGCTTCGAAGCGCGCGCGCCCTTTCGGGAGCACTAAGGGGACATAGGGGTTCCCACACAGGAGGGGGTCATTTACGCGCCGTAGATGGTACGTGGGGGTATCAGGGTTTTCCTGCCGAGGGTACACCTGGGTCCCCGGCAACTGGTACCCGAGTCCGACATAACCACCGGTGGGTAGTATCCGAGGGGATTTCCGCACAGGAAAAAAATGGTCACAAACATAAAAGAAAAATACAGCCAAATTTATTCTTCCTTTTTCTAATTAAAAATATCATCATCAGTGTGTGAGATCTAGTAACTTAAAACCAAATGTCGTTATTTGATGCTAGATATCTAGATATTAAAACAAAACTAGTATAAACTTGAGTGACGTTAAGCTGGTCATATCTGGGTCATTTCAAATGAAGCCATCAAGTTATAAAAAGAAAAACTACTACAGAATAAAATGGCGTATTATTTTTGTTTAAACAAAGTAGGTTGTGTGTGTGAACGGTGTTTGAGACTAGTGCATTCGGCATTCGATTTTATTTTACACTTTTTACCACTTTACTGAAAAACGGTAATTACTGGTACGAAGCCACGCCAGACAGCCATTAAAAATGATTTTACATTTAAACCCACGATAAATAATTGTGTAAAGAGAATGATCATTTGTTCTGTGTCTGGGTGCAATTTATCTATAACATGTATGTACTTAGTAATATATAAGTATGTTTATCAGCAGCCTAGTTACCATAGTACAGGCTCTGCCTAGTTTGGAATTTAACGGCCGAGTGTAGTAACCTGGGTAGGAGTTTAGAACCTACGACCTCCGGCTAAGCTGTCAGGATCACTAATTTCTACACCAACAGAAGAAAAAGTTTAAATAAAGACTAACTAATTTACCAGACGTTGTACTGCCATAATTTTGTTTCCTCGAATTACCTCGTTATTTCTCGTCAAAAACCTGTAGCTATTATTAATATAGAAAAAAAAGGCATTGAAATCCGTAATGTCATTTTCAAGTAATGCGCTTGCAAACGAAAAGAACTTCCTTTATATTTTTATAGATTGTAGATTATAGCTGCAGGCTGCCACGTTTCGCTGTGGCACATTGTGGTGGGAACTGATTAAAAATACTAACGTGAAAAATAAATAAAAACATTCTTTGAAACGACTAGTATATCATATCAAAATTTGGACTTAATCGGTGCAGAACTTTTTAAGTTTTAGAAGCGTACACAAATCGACTTAATATATTTAAATATATACTAGATTGTGCCATCGGCTCCGCCTGCCTGTATATCAGCTAGCGTAGTAAAAAGTTGTCTATAGCCACATGGATAATATACCTTTCTAACAGTGAAAGAATTTTCAAAATCGGATCAGCAGGACCGGAGATTACCCTTTTTTATTGTTTTTGCGGATACCACCCTTCAGTGGTTATATCAGACATGAACCGACCAAAAGCCGCACGCCGTCGGGTGCCAGTAGCTGGGGAACGAGGTGTACCCTAAGAAGAAAATCCCTGGAACCTCGACGGACCCCGGGCCATCTACGGCTTATAGATGACCCCTCGTGTGTAGGAACCACGTTGTTCCCCTTCTACAGCCTAATGGGCGCGTTCGCTCCATAACGCGTCACGTCAGGGTGACAGACGGCCTCACCTGTCACCCCCCCGGCCTGCGCTTACGGAGGATGGAGGTCGTTTTGCGACCTTCGACGCCTGAGTCTCCTGCGTACCCGGGTCTCACGGATCCACTCCGCCGTCTCCTTTGCAAGCATCAGTTGCTCGCAGAAGGAGACGGCAGAGTTCCACCACCATCCAATACCATGACACAGGTGATTCCCGAAGCATCCTTTGCCCGTGATCACCTGCGTCAGCCGGTATGAGAGTGTCCCGTGTTGCCTCTCGAGCCAATCTTCCATTGCAGGTCTTACTGCCGCAATAACGACTGGAGATTACCCTTATTATACAAACTCCCAAATTTTACCTTTTTATAATATCAGAATAGATAGATACGAAGAACGACAAGTGCCTTTCATCAAGTGTTATGGAGCCAATTACCAGTGATGATTAAAATTATTATTTATGGTCATAACAATGACTTAAGCTGATTGAAAGGGTCTGCTTACCTTGGCCGAGCTGACGGCAATTTTGAACACGAGTAAAATGAACCCTATAGCAACCGACTTGACAGCCATGATGCTGGTCAGGATCATCCACGTGGAGGTAGCTCCGACTTGGAAGATGAGCGGGATCAGGGCCATTGACATTTTCTTCATACTCCTGCTGTCTGATAAAGGCTTTTGGCGTTAGTATGTGCTTTAGGTTCAAGAATTTTCAACAGTTTTTAATGTTTATTATGAGAAATACATACATACATAGAAAATAATAGATGTGGTAACGTAAAAGCGGCGATAGTATAATGATAAAGGAGTCGGATTGGTTGTGTTTGAACCCCATCCAGTACACTCCGATTTCAATCCTAACACAAACTTAGGTATTGTGGGAACAGCACCAGGGACTTCCTTTCTAGGGTATACCTGGTTCCCCGGCTATTAGTACCCAAGACGGCGTGCGGTTTTAGTCGGTTCGAGTCCGACATGCCACCGATAGGTGGTATCCGAGGGGATTTCCGCACGGCAAAAAAAAAGAAAAAAAAGGTATTGTGGGAACTGAATACTTATTGACATGACCTTAAATAAATTATGTACTTCTTTATCTAACACGGCTCAGAATTTATTTATTTGATCTGCGTATCACGATATTAAAGTTTATTTAATGACAAAATTATGTTCTACGAGTAAAGTTAAGTTAGGTAAAACAATAATTTTAAAACGTTCGTACTAAAACCACCAGGCGCTCACGGAATATTATTAATACCATATTTGTGTATTTAAACTACAGTAAGCATTGTTTTTAAGTTATTAATGGAATTACTAATTTATAGATTTTGTATAAGTTTAATTTTTGTAAAATTGCTTACTATTTTACAAAGCAGAGATTGTTGCTTTTGTGTGTGTTGATCCATGACTTTAGAGTCTACATAAAAGACGATTTCAAACAATTTTTTTTTTTGAAATAAAGTAAGTAAGGTTTTTTTTAGTTTAGGATTATAATCGTCATATTACGGTTTTATTTACTTATTTTACATCTTTATTCACTTATGTACATCGGCAGACCTAATGCCCGGGTATTCTCTTCCAGTCTGCCTTTGGATGGTGTAGAAATCTTGTAATGTTGGTGCACCGAGGTTACCATTGTAATCAATGGTTATAAATATATATTATTTTTATCCGTGTGGTGACGGATTAAGAATACGGAATGTCACCACCCCTATTCATCCCGTTAGTGTCGTAAGAGCCGACTAAGGGAACAAACTGCACAGGACAACAGCACTGCAAAAAGAAGGAAAACTTGAAACAAACCCTATACCAACCCGTCTGGCCAGCGTGGTATAGTAGGCCAAAACATCCTTTCTAAGGAGAGGCCTATGTCCAGCAGTGGGCTATTACAGGCTGTTAATGAAAAAATGATGAATATATTTTTTTACCTATAAATACATATAACTAAACTAAACTTATACGTATATATATATTCTTTATGTTCGTACACTGTAGATACTTGAATTTAAGTACGTGTACTATTGGTTAAGGTACTGCCGCCATCTCCTTGAGATAGTAATTAGGTACGTATGTTCTTTTTAAATGCGAAACGGTTTGTGGACATCTTGATTTCGAGCGAGGGTGCATTCCAGAGCCTACTTGCAGAAAGAACGAGGAGTTCAAGAAGTCGGAGTTTTCAGAAGGACACAAGTTTGAAAGTTTCTTCTCTATCACTCGTCGTTAACTTACTCCTTTCCATATCCTCTTTCACGCAGTCCATCCATCTTTTCTTTGGTCGTCCTCTACTCTTATATCCGTCAACTTCCATACTTAAAACTTTCTTAACAACATCTCTACACATCTCATGTCCATACCAGGATAACATGTGGCTTCTTAACTTTGCATCCACTGGTGTTACTTTCAGGATTCCTCTGTGGTCATTCCTCACCTTGTCCATTCCACTCACACCACTCATCTATCCTAACATACATATGCATTTCAGCTACATACACGCGTTTCTAATCCTTTTTCCAGTTTTAATTGAGCATAAGTCTTAATAATATAATATTCTACCACATTCACAAAACGCCATCTAGTCCCAAACTAAGCAGAGCTTGTACTTTGGGTACTAGACAACTGATATAAATACATATATACTTTTTTTTTGTAAATACATCTTATACATAGAAACACCCAGACCAAATCACACATTAAATGTTCATGCACACAAATGTTTGACTTGAGGGGGAATTGTACCCGCGACCTTTGGATTAGCAGTTCGTTACACGAACCACTACGCCATCCGGTCGTCAGTAGTAATAATAAACTCTATTTAGTCGCCAGAAGGTATATTATTCCAAACAAGGAACCCTAACACGTAACAGCATTATAGATTACATTAAAATTATATTAAAATATTTGAATGAATATTCGTTCGCTTGAAAACAGATTTTGTATGCGTCATTACCTTTTCCGGTCGTAACATTGTCTTAAGCTTAACTTTAATTCTTTATTCCTAAATTTCGTTTCTGGTTTTATTGTCTATGAGATTACTTTTTTAATTGATACGTCAAAGAGGCATAGCAAAGATAAGTTTTTTTTTGAGTTCAGTTAAATTAAAAAAAATACTAACCTCGTGACGTTGATCCAAATTTAGGTTTTAAAATATCGTATCCCAACATTTTACCTATTTCACTTCTCCCTAAATGTCGATCATTAAATTCTTCCAACCATTTAGTAATATAATTTGTACAATCACTTAGATTATTTTGAATATTTTCTTCTAAATCTGTTATTAAACTATTTTCAGCCGATATTATTTTAATGTTCAAACAAAGAATAAATAAAAAATATATTTTTGGTATTGGATCCATTTTCAAAATTTGAATTTGGAATACGCGCGCTCGCTCGCGTTTCGAAAATGCGACTGTCCAATGGTCCATGGTTTTCGAAGTAATCTGTACGAAGACACTTACTAAATTATAAAGATCTCCAATTTGATACAGTTCATACTATAAGAAGGGTCTAATTTAAGTAGATACGTTTCACGAAGAATGTAACATTCAATTTTAGTAGAACTCTGTTGTGCTTTTACATATTAAGTAGGCCTATAGTAATTTGTTTGTTGTAGGCATTTTATTGCTGTTTTATTGAAAATGCGAGTTAGGTAACCTACAAATTTTAAGATTGTCACTCTTATACATTACGTGTGGTGACGGATTAAGAATACAAAGTGTCACCACCCCTATTCATCCCGTGGGTGTAGTAAGAGCCGACTAAGGGAGGAAACTACGCAGGACAACAGCACTGCAAAGAGAAGGAAAACTTGACACAAACCCTATACCAACCCGTCTGGCCAGCGTGGTATAGTAAGCCAAAACCTCCTTTCTAAGGAGAGGCTTATGTCCAGCAGTGGACTGTTAAAGGCTGTTGATGATGATGATGAAATTTTTATCCAAATTGTCAAATCAAAGAGTCACGCTAACTTTTTTTAATAAATTCAGTATTGTCATTGATCTAAATAAGATAAGATATGGGTCTCTTTACTTTAAGAACAAAGAAAGACAATGATAAAATGGTTTTGTGTATTAACACGACTTGCTCCTCATATAGTGAGGATCATTTCTTCTGGGTGTGTTGGTTTAGTGGTTAGTGACCCTGACTGCTAAGCCGAAGGTCGTGGTACCAACCACCCAGGATAAATAATTGTGTGATGAGCATGATCATTTGTTGTGTCTGGGTGTAATTTACCTATAAAATGCCATATAAACATCTGTGGCTATCGTTACAGATAGCTGGATCCCTAAAAAGTCCAACAACAGAAGTCTAGGTCGTATCATAGTAGACTTAAAACCGACTCTAACCTGGTTTGGGAAAAAAACTCGTAGGAAGAGGAAGATATAGGTATGTAATCATCAGCCTATCGCAGTCCACTGCTGGACATAGGCCTCTCCCATTGCACATTTAGAAATATATAAGTATGTTTATTAGCAGTCTGGTTACTCTTCAAAGTCCGCCCCTCGGGCCGTAAACAGCGTGTCATCGGCGTAACAAATAACGGTCAGCCCGGGGGGGAGAGCAGGCTGGTTACCATAGTACAGGCTCTGCCTTGTTTGGGATCAGACGGCCGTGTGTAAAGTTATTATTATTAGTTATTTATTATCGTAATTAAAGATCGAAATACTTATATTCGCCAAATGGGAGAGCCACGTTATGGCACAAATGGGTCGGCTCGACCGAGGTGATACCAGGGTCTCACAGCAAAACTGGTGTTAAGCAACTCCTCTTTTCTTCAACTTCAACTTTCCTTCCTCTTCACTGAGTGAGTGAAGATATCTTGAGATCAACCCTCCCTCCTTGATTTTGGAGAGGCGGGGGGCATTCAATGCTTGGTGTCTCTTGAATTGCAGACAGCCATTGGCAGCGGTTGGAGAGGGGGGGGGGGGGGGTATTCAATGCACTTGGTGTCTCTTGAATGGGTGGCGTCCATTGACAACGGTAGGTAACCACTTACCATCAGGTGGCCCATCCCTCGTTTGCCTCGTTTGTAAAACTTTTTATCATATTTTTTAACAAAAAACAAACTAAATACCCAAATACTAAAAACTAAGCCTTTTAATCGTCCGAGTGGTGACGGATTAAAACACAGAGTGCCACCACCCCTATTCATCCCGAATATTGGAGCAAACTACGCAAGACAACAGCACTGCAAAGAGAAGGCAAACTTGACACAAACCCTGTACCAACCCGTTTAGCCAGCGTGGTATAGTAGGCCAAAACCTCCTTTCTAAGGAGAGGCTTATGTACAGCAGTGGACTAGTAAAGGCTGTTGATAAAGTTTTTTAAAAACGTATGATTCATGACCGCGCAAAGAAGGCACATAACTTATAATTAAAGTAATGATATTTCAGGTGTTACACAAATTAAACTTGTCTACATAATTACCAACAATGCTCATTTTGTTTTGAAAAAAAGTTCTGTTTAATTGTTTACGGTCATAGACATTGATGTTCTCTTTTCGAATTAAGATAAGTTTTTTTTAAGCATTTAAGTCTGCACATTGTTAATTAATGAGTGTCGTGGCCAATTTTTTTTTTCTTGAATATCATATATGTAATATCATGTATGTGCGGTTTAACTAGATAATGACAGATAAAATTTAATTTCGCATATACGTA